GTAATTACTTTTACAGTTAATTAAAAGCGCACTCATTAAGCTCCTGCTGCGATGCCAATGCAAAGCGCTTATTTGCAAACAGACCCTGGGTGTCTGCTCACCTTGGTGATGTGCCGCCTCCACGGGACACGGAGTCCCCCTCCTGGCTGGTACCCCTGGTGTTGTCCTAAGCCGAGCTTCACCAGGTCTCCCCTCCACCAACTCGCTGCTGCCCGCTGCTTGGCCGGTGCATGCGTAAGGGGCCCAGGCTTCCTGCCTCCTAATCATTCGTTGAATTAAGAAATTTAAATACTGAGGATGAAGAGCAAGCGGGTCTCCCGGAAGCCTCCAGCAGAGGTCCAGCTGGGCAGCGGGATGCTTAGCTGCCTCTACTGGCTCACAAGCTTGTGCTGTAGGCGTTCTGGCTTTACAGCTCGCTCTTACCAACACCCCCCCCCACACACACACACACACTCCCCGGAAGGACCTCCTTGTTGTTGTTAGCCACCATTGAGAAGGGTCTAATTCAGGAAGACCCCGCATACAACGCCACAAAGCATACCGGCCCGGCACCAACCTCACCACCGTGCTTGGTCTGCTGGGGTCCACAGACGCAGCCCCACTGCGTGCGCTGAGCACCTTCCGACGCAGGGGACCGACTCTGTGGTGACCCAGAGGGGTCTTCTTGGGCTAGTGTTCAGCAGTCAACCGCCAGGCTGTTCTTCCTAGTCTTAGTTTGGAAGCTCATCACCTTTCTCCCTCAACGGGCTGTAAGCTGTCCACCTTGGGTGACCCTGCTGGTATTTAAAATGCCAGTGGCATCTCAGAAACGTGCAAATAACCAAAAGCCAAAAGCCCAAACCAAACTCACCGCCGACGCGACAGGCCCTGTGGGTTTCCAAGGCGGTAACTCTTGATGGGGACGGCAATTGCCCTGGTTCTCCCGTGGAGCGGCTGGTGGTTTTGAACTGCTGACCTCGTGGTTATAGCAGCCCAACTTGAAACGACTATGCCGCCCAGGGCTTCAGGAAGGCCCGCCGCCAAAGGAGGAAGATTGCTGCGAAACGTTTATAAAGTCGGCCAGGTTGTCTTCCTGCCTAGATGGATGTTGCTTTCGCGGTTGAAAGCCTTTGCAATGTGATCTTAGCCGACGCGAATGAAACAAACGATTTCAGGGGACTTCGCTTCTAAACGCTTCATATCTGGAGCCGGCCCTTTAATGTGATTCCACAATAACCTTGCCTTCAAACGGGCTGGTGAACACACTCTTCTCCAACATATAAGAATGAAATGCCTCCTCAAAGGATCACATTCCTGGAAAGTAATTAAGGTTTATTAATTAAAACGTATCGTCGGAGATTCAGAGGCAGCGGGAAAGCCTGCCTATCCCTGCAAGTTGGCTGAAACCAGCTCCTTGGAACTTCTGGGTAGGTGGGTGGGCGCTTTTGCAAAGTTCTTTGCTCCCATCTGCTGGCCGCATGTGGTATTGCAGGGCATGAGCAAAATTTTGTGAATGGGGGACGTTTTGCAAAAAATCCCACCAGGTCCCTAATGCTTTCTATATTCTGAATGTATTCAAATGAACCACCTTATTTGAATCTCAGTCTTTTGAAATGGAGTATGGCCACTGCATCAGCCAGCTGGAAGGTCTGGGTTCCAAGCTCCGATCTGTCAGTCAGGAGTCCCAAGAACAGCAGGGCTGCTGAGCAGGGTGGGCAGGTGGAATTGCTGGGCCAAGAAGGACTAGGAGCCCAATCTGCTGCCACCATTGTTGCTCGGCACCTCTGAGCCGGCTCTGACCCATGGCCACCCCGGGAACAGCCGAACCAAACGGCGCCAGTCCTGCACCATCCTGATTACAGAGCCCCGGGTTGCAGCCACGAGGTCCCTGCATCATGTTGAAGGCCAGCCCCTTTCTCATTGCCCCGTCCACTTTACCAAGCACATTGTCCTTTACCAAGGGCTGGACTGCCGACAGCACACCCCAAGTGCTCACGTTAGCCTATGAGAATCTTCTGCATCACGACAGGTCACCTGAAATAAGGCTGGAAGATGAGCCCCAGGTGGGAGGACACTCAACATGTGCAGTGACCCCAGCGACAGACGGAAACCTCCACTGACCGCAATTAGGATGCTGGCCCAGCAGGTTCCTTTTGTTGTCCCTGGGCCATTGCGAATTGTGGGGTGCTTGAGAGAAACGTATAACAATAGCAACGTGTTGATGAGACAACCTAGCTACTGTGTGTGTGTGTATGTGTGGACGGGGGTGTCCATGACAAACATCACTCTTGCAAGAAGGCAGTCAATTTGTGAACGTTTATTTAAGCCATCAGGCACAAGGCAGGGTCGAGAGGTCTGCGGGACATCCATAAACTGAAGCCTGGTGGTGCAGCGGGTCCCATGCTGGGCCGTTCACAGCAAAGTCAGCAGTTCGAAGCCACCAGCCGCTCTGGCTCTCTACTCCCATAAAGCCTTAGTCTCAGAAACCTGGAAGGGCTGTTCGCTCCGTGCCCTATAAGGTCTCCAAGAGCCAGAATCAACTGGATGGTAGTGAGTTTGATTCGGTTAACTAGGAGAGATGAGATCTGTTCCCTGAACTCTCCGGTGCGGACTTCTCATCCACAAAGTGGGTGCATCTGACTGGATGGCACGCAAGACCTTCCCAGGTTCAGTCTCCACAAGGCTGAGTCTCTGTTGTGGTCCCAACAACGTGAGACCTTGTGATGTAGGCAGGCACCGCCTTAACAAAGTCCGAGCAGTTGAGCCCCTCGCTGCCCGGCTCAATGTGTGTGATTTTCAGAACAACAGGGAACTGGAGTACCGAAGAGATCCGAGAGATTGCTTTGGGAAAGGAGGCCACGGACAATTGTTGACTGCAGTTTAAAGGCCCCCTTCCCTTCCCTTTGAAGAGAGGTGTAGAAACGCGCTGCTTCTTCACCGAAGGGCTTGCCCTGCTACTTATTTTCTGTTTCACAAGGAAGAGGGCAGCGCTTGGCCTTCTCCTCCCAGTGGAAGGCGTTTCGTGGCAGAAAGCCAGCTGATTGTGGGCGGGCACCTGGTGGGGAAAGAGGGGTCAGTGGTATGAAGGTCCGTGGCAGTCGAAGGGGAGTCAGTGAGGGCGTGTGGTGAGTGTCTGTTGATGATGGAGAGGTAGCTCATCGGAAAAGGGTAGTGAGTGGGGGAGCTGTGGGAGGGGAGTGGATGGCGGGGAGTTGCCGGTGAGGGACGGTTGGGTAATGGAAGAGTGATTCGTGGTAGAAGGATTATCAGGGACCTCAGACTGCTCCTTGGGGGAAGTGTGGTTGGGGGTGGAGGGGAGTTGGTGGCTGAAAGGCAGGTGTTGTTTGTGAATAGGTAGTAGTTGGCAGGTAGTCACAGTGGTAGAAGGGCGGGGGGCAGCTGGTGGTTGGAGCTGGTCAGTGGAGCCATTCGCCATGCTGTCCAATCATCCCAGAGATGGCAGAAGCTTCAGGTCCCCCCACCCCACCCCATGAAACATGTCCTGGGGCCTTGGGAGTAGTTGAACCCACGATGGAAACACTTCACCAAGAGTCTGTGATCCCTGCCCTCCTCTCCTGTCGGTCGGTCGGACACAAGCAGCCTGCTCTTTTCTTCCTAGGCCCCGTCCGGAGCCAACAGCTCAGTGCCTCCATCTGGAACTTCCAGGGGCTCTTTTCCTAGAGGTCTCCTGTAAGGGGATGTTGCCCCCCACCCCCAGGACCACCCCTTCCTGTCCCTGTGATGAGCAGCCAGGCACCACACAGAAGATGCCACAGAGGGCACAGCTGGGAGTCCGGTGTCCATTTCCTGTCGGGCTGTCACTGGTCACAGCCAAATGTGTTTTTGTTCCTTGTCCGTCTCTCAAGGGGCCCCCGAATCTATAGCCACGTGCACCATTTGACCAGTTGTGGATTAGACGGTTGTGATACTTCTATAGGGTTTTCACTGGATCATATAGATATTTGTACTTATATATTTTGTATATAGATTAGAAGTCGGTCATCGGGCCTTTCTTCCTAGTCTGTCTTAGTCTGGAAGCGCTGCTGAAGCCTGTCAGACACCCTAGCCACACACAAACCTCCACTGGCAGAGGGTTTGCAGCTGTGTGTGAAGGGCACTGACCAGGCATGCATCCGGCCAAGGGAAGGGGAGCGTTCTACATCAACATCACGGCCCCAATCTCACCTGTTAAGAAATAACGGAAATTCATCCTCTTGAGCAACCAGTGGATTTGAACCACCAACCTTGCTGTTAGCAGTCCAATGCTTAACCCACAGCGCCGCCAGGGCTCCACAGAGACAAACAGCCCTAAACACAGAAGGGAGGGAGCTGTGGTGGCACAGTGGTAACAAGCGGGGCTTCTCTCTGCAAGGTCGGCAGTTTGAATCTACGGACTCAGAAGCTCACAGGCAATCCGACCCTGTGAGTCTGTCTGTTCTCAGTCGACACACAGAAGTTAGGAGGGTGAGACTTCTCCTATAGTTGGGTCATGTTAGCAGGAGAGACGGTCCCTGGAGAGGGCGGGACCCGATGCTTGGTAAAGTAGAAGGTCAGTGACAAAGAGGAAGATGCAAGTTGAGAAGGACGGACGCAGTAGAGTGGCTACCTCCGTGGGCCCCAACATGGCAATTGTGAGGCAGGAGCAGGAGCGGGCAGCGTCTCATTCTGTGGCACACAGGGTGGCCGTGGGGCCGAACCGACAGCCAAAGCAGCACATGTCGTGGGCGAGACCATGTGTGTGACTAGGGCAGTCCCTGCTGGTCTGAGCACAGGTGTCTGGAGAACATCCCCGGGGTTGGACTGCAGATCTCTTGGGAGTGGGCGCTGATGGGTTTTGCCTCCACCCTCCATCTGCATGCAACGAAGTTCACCTCTGCGTGTCTCTGATGCATGCACCGAGCCCAGGCCTCTAACAAGCCCTGGATGGTTCCAGAAACAGCAGGTAGGACCCTGGGCCCTTTCAAGCCCCCACGATTCTCTGGCAATAAGTCTGACTCCTGTTCTTTCTCCTCCTCCTCTAGGATATCAAAGCTGACTGCAGTGGCTGTGTGGAAATAGAGGGCGGAAAAGTAAGTCCATGGTTTCTGTCTTTCTGGTTTTGAACTTGAGCTAGCCGTGGTGATGTAAAGCCAAGTGTGACGGCGTGCCTTGCTTGAAGGTTTACCGGGCGATTCCCGCGCTGCTAGGGGCTACTCGTGGGAAAAGCGGACTTTTAGAGAGCCATCCCTTTCTTCGATTCCCTTTGCAACCTGTGCTTTCTGACTTGGATGAAGACTGCATACTAAAATTAAGTCAAAAGGGAGACTTGCTTGGCTTATATGTTGTTGGGACTTATCTGAAGGAAAACAGCTTGCTGGACTTGAAATGTATTTCCCATTTTAGTTAAACATGGTCGATTATATGACTATGATTACATGATATACATATATGCACATACCTATACATAAATACACGTGAAGGGGGCTTCCAAAAGTTTGTGGAACAAAGGAATTAAGAGATAATAGGATTTTTCCAATTAACTGTTTAGAAAACCTCTCGTGTGTGTGTGTGTGCACGCGTGTGCACACAGGTATCAAAAAGAGCATGTAAAAATTCCATTTCTTGATTCCATTTTTCCATGAGCTCTTTGAAGACATCCTGTATGTATGTGCATGTGTATGTGTGTGTATATGACATGTTAAATAGATCATGTGCACGCGTGTTTTATTGACTGTTTTGCTGACTATGCAAACACATTCTACTGCGTGGAGCTTAGCAAGCTATGGACCGCCTTGAAGAATGGCAATTCCAGAACCCTTACTGACCCGACTCAGCTGCATCTCACAACAACATATATGTTGTAGGATGTTGTGTGTCTACTTTTGTATTTTAAAGACTGCTTAGCATAGGTGTTCTCGGGATGGGTCTCCCTGGCCCTGTTTTGTTGACCGCAGGTCCCCTGTGATCGTGATTTCCGTCGAATGCTGCACCCTAGCTATCACCTCCCTTCTGAGATGTTCTGGGGGGTAGTCGGGATGCCCTACCCCCCATTTTGGAGGCAGGGTGGGGGGTGTTCCCCTGCTTTCCTGTGTCTGTTGTCCTAGCGCTGTGGCAAGTTTAAGTGCTTGCTAGCTGGTAAGTCTTTAGTTTCATTCTGTATTGGCAGCAGTTCTGGAAGTTTCTGTGGCAGAGTATCCTAGCAGATCACATTGGACCTTCCCGTCATTGGCTCCGGGGAGTTCTAATGAGCAGGGGTGGGCACCTGCCTCCTGCTGCTATGGACATCCCTCTGCGATTCTCAGCAGTCTCTCCCTTGGCATCTGTTCCCCTTTAGTATCAAATATGGTTGCCTTTGTTCAGTGAAGAGAGTTTCAGCCATGACTTTGTGATGGCCTGGGCCCGTTGTTGGCTAATCAGCTGGCTGGGGCCTACTCTAAACAAGATGGGCTTGTATGTCCGGAGAATTCGCTATGCATTTCTTTCAAGGATTTGCTGAAAACCGAGGTGGTATGGGAGCTGAGAGGCCAGCCGCAGCTAGTGTGGCTGGGGTTGTGTCTGAAGGTGGACTTTCAAGCCAAACCATTGCTGTAGAGCCGATGCTGACCCAGGGGACTCTGGGATGTGTCAGGGTGGGGGTTCTTCGGCAGTGAGTCTATCGGTTGCTCCGTGTGCACCTTTTTTTTGCAGGTTGGACTGATAGAAGTGCCTCTCAGCTTCAACCTATATCCAAAATCTTGCCACCCCTTCCCTCCTCCTCCCAACCCTTCCTCCCCAAACCCAGGGGTCTCCAACCCCCTTTGCTTCTGGATGGGCCCACACACAGGGTTCTGCCTGGTGGGTTTTTAAAAAAAGACATGTCTTTCTTAGTCCTGTCTGAAAGATGCCCGGGGAGCTGATCCTCCTGAAAGAGCACCTGTTTCATCGCCATCAGGAGGAGGAAAAGCTGGCAGTGAAAGCCGGCCCCACAGATGCTGTTCTACGTCACACGAAGGGCTTTAAGTCACACACATCCTGACAACAGGGTCAGACCGTGTCCGTGGTCTCTTGGGGATGGCTACCTGAGGAGGACAGGCTGTGAGTAGCCACCCGATTCGAGGCTGGAGGTGTTCCTATCAGATGGAGGACTGTCGATCTGTTTCCATATCAGGGTTAGGAGCATCTAAAGGCGCGAGATCCCTAGCACCAGCTCACATCACACACCCCTGCAGAGAAGCAGTCCCAGGCACCACGTCAGGGGCGTGTTCTTTAAATGCAGGACCAGGAAGGCCTGTGACTGTTATCACTATCCAAATGGCCCTTGGCAGACAAAGGGCTTCCTAGCCCAGATCTACAGCATGCTGTATCCATACCATACCTAAAGGAGCCCTAGTGGCACTCTGGCCTGCTGGACATATATGGTCAGCAGTTCAAACCCAACAACACCTTCACAGGAGAAAGATGAGGTATATATGCCCGTAAATATTTACAGCTGAGGAAAGCCTATTTAGGGATGCTATGGCTTAGAATCGACTTGATATCAGTGGGGTTGGCATTTCTATGTCTACATTTGGACTATGTCTATAATTGTATCTATGTGCATACCCTATTGAGACTGTATCTATGTGTATAAGTACATCTGTACTATGTACTGACGTTATATCTGTAGTCTGGGACTGTGTCTACATATACACACACACCTACAATTATGCCATATGTACAGTTGTAGTTGGGTGTGTAACTGTGTACATTTATATTCTAGCTGTACCATAGTTATCCTATATGTACTTAGCCTACATCTATACTACATGTCTATACTATATCTGTATATAAGGAACCCTGGTGGCATAGGTTCAGGTTACCCATTAGACTACTAACCACGGATCAGCAGTTCGAAACCACCAACTGATCTGAGGGGGAAAGATGAGGCTTTCTGCTCCTGGAAGCAGTTCGACTCTCAGAA